AGGGGAAAGAGTGCACTGATCTTAAAAGACAATGCTGCTACCTCAGGAATATGTCAAAAAAGACTATGGTTACCTTCAGTGTGGTGCAAACAAGATACAAAACACACTTGGTGTTTTATCTGGAATGAGTTACCATCACTGAGTTTGGAGTAAGTAAAACAAACATAGTAATCTAACAGAATTGTAATAGAAATGGTTTTCTTTCTTGGGTATTTTCCCAAAGTCCTGGATTTAAATCGAGGATAAAACCACCTTCCCCATCAACAAAGACTACAACTTCTATCTGCAGGATTTGTCTCTCCTTTCTTCTTTAACATGCAGCATTATACAATATGATCTCCCCTTCATGATAGCAGTTCTCGCTGTTTTCCACTTTGAACAAACTCTGTTTCACATTCCTAGTGCAATACAGTGTAAGGTCTGATATTTGCCCATTAATTAACGGCACAGCAGTAAATAAAATAAATAATGCCCTCCTAGTCATACTATTTACTGGACTTTTTCATTAATTCCATATTTCAAGAAAACTATGCTACTATAAAATACCCAACACATAAACATAAACATTTTAAAACTTATGGCCATGATTCTGTATCAGCCTCTCCCCAAGAAATAGTTAGGTTTGAATTGGTCATGTATGTTTTTAATGTCATATCTTCTACAGCAATTTCTTTTTCTGACTTGTCTCCATGAGGAAGAAAACTATTTCAGACAGGAGTGGGAAGAGTTGTTTATTGGTTAAATGGTGAAGGAATTGGACTCAATCAGTATTTCAGTATCTTTTATTCTTACCTAAGGCCATGGTTCCAATGTCAAAATTCCCGTATGGTATCAGTTACATCATACATGGTGCTGCCATGATTGAAAACCCAAAGACTAACGAAAGAGGCTTGCTCTTGTTTGGTGCAGTACAACTCCTATAGACTTCAGTAACAAAAGCAGGTACTCTGCACTCCTCAGGATTGCTTCTGCAATTTAACAAGGAAAAAAAAAAGGCTTAAAAAAGATCATATGAAACTATATTTACTGAATGGCAATTGCTTGTTTTCTGGCAAATCAGACTTCATTGACCAAGTTAGTGTCAACTGTTTTCACTTTCTCATCTTTTTTTTTTTTTTTTTTTTTTTTTTTTTTTTTTTTTT